ATTGAGGGGGCAATAATTTGATCCTATCAGAAGTGAGTGTTATCCACTACAGCAAAACAGTAAACTTAAATCAGCCCCCAGAATTCATAAACAGCATGACATGGAAGACAGACAGTTATTAATGTGCTATACAACACAGTTCAGGGTGTTGAAGTAGCATTTAGGTTTAGGGATTACTCTTTAAAACTCTTTAAAATTAGATTTTCTTTAAAACTGGTTACTCTTTAAAATTGGCTAACAGCCTTACATCAATGTTTTAATTCTGTGTTAAAGCAGCATCAACATTACCTGAAGCCTCTTACCTCTACGAAATCGTTGTAGAGGATCGCTCACCCTCCTCCCTCCCTCTCTAGGGATGTGCGGATCAGCCCCTGGCTTTGTGTTTCATGGATTACTGAGGGCAGATGGAGAGACATCAGTCAAGGCAGGGAGGTGCTCAGGTGAGAGCAAGGTGGGGAAGCAAGGTGGGTATCTAAGTCCTGCAGGGAAACAGGTGCAGACATGTGACAGCATAGGACAGCGTGTGGTGGTTGTTGTCAAGGATCTTTTGCAAGATGAAAGCCCCCGACGGAGCCAACAGCTTTGTCTGCTGGGCTTGGGCACTTGTCTGTCAGTGATGCCTATGAGGAGACACCTCATCCTTACAGCAGTAGGGCCTCAATGCCTCCTCATCCCCCTCCAGGAGCCTGGGAGATGTCCTCCTGTAGCCTTGTACTTGGCACTGCCCTTACCCACTGTGCACTGACCCAGGAAGAGCCCTAAACTCCGCTGGAGGGACAGCATCTCCCTTCCCAGAGGCTGGGGTCAGGGCCCGACTCTTGGACTTCATGGGACACATCAAGGTTTCCTCAGCATCAGGGCCACCTTTCCTGGGCCTTGGTCTCCCCATCATCACTGCCTGCCCTTTTCTGCTCTAACAAGTCCATGGGGAGGCCTTGACAGTAATGTCCCTCAGTGGGACCGTTAGCACTGTGAGAGGCTTTGGAGTTTGCATCAGACTTGGACTACTTGAGAAGCTGCTTCAGCCACCCAGATCAAGCTCCTTTGCCAGGCACAGCATTGCTGGGGGCACTGCGTGCAGCTGGCATGGGGAGAAGAGAGAAGGGGGAGAGAGGTTCAGGGCAGCCTTTAATAGGAAGGCAGGGGAGAGCTGGCAGAGGGAGAAATCTTCCCAGCCACCTCCTTACACATCCAAGGATATATGCATAGCATGAGTTTCTCACCTAATCTTCCGACACATGCTCTAGGCCTGGGTCACCTTGCCCTCAGTCTGAGATACAAGTCTGTAGGCTCTTATAGATAAAGCTGACTAATCAGTGACTAAAGTAACATCAGGGGTGAATGCTTCTAAATTTCCTTCTCTCTAACAGAACCTAGTAAAAGTTTCACCTATCTCCTAATGAAGCTTTTCAAATTTGAAGCCATTGTTCTGTCAAGGAAGAGACCATTTTGCCTTTCAGCTCAGTATCAAGGGGAGTCCAGGAAGCCCCTCCCAAGGCTGCTCATGCCACCAGAGACAAGGCCAAGGATGAGGGAAGAGAGGGGAATGGAAGGGATGTGGTGAGGTCCCTGTCGCTTTACGGCCTGGTTGCCTGGCAGGAGATGTGCTGGCCAGCAGGCCTTGTGAGGTCACCCAGCACCTCACAGAGCACCCCAAGGCAGCAGGGATGGCACTGGAGAGGCGGGTGGCAGAGCCCAGCCAGGGGCTGGCTGTGGGTCCTCTCTGCTGCAGCCGCCTGATGGCGCGTGGTAGGAGGAGGGCAGGCAGGGCTCGGGGCCACTGAAAACCAGGCACCTAGGGGGCTAGAGAGAGGTCAGCTCTGCCTCAGGATCTCCTGCCCCAGGAGGAGGAATGTGACTGTGGCAGGGACTGTGAGGCCACTTCTGTCTCTGTGGTTCATAGCACAGCAGCAGGAACGTGACATGGAAAGGGACTGGGAGGTCACTTGTGTCTGGAGGTGGCAGGTCAGCCTTGACTTCTCCCTGGGATCTGTACTTTTGGGCTGACATCTGGCAGTGGCCCTGCTAGGCCAGCAGAAGGCACCTGCTTGGCATGCTGACTGGGGGATCCCCTCTGCTTCCAGACCCAGGAGAACCCAGGCAGAAAGAAGGTCCCAAGATGGGTCTTCATGGGCCCGCATAAGTACCTCAGCCTCTACCTTATCTCCAGACCAGCACCAGATTTTCCCAACATCTAACAAGAATGATGATGCTCCTTAATCCTTCTTTATTTAAAGTGTTTATATAAAGAGTTTTTTATTGTCTTTGACAGTAATAGACAGATTTAGCACCAGCTGGGCTTTGGTCCTTCTAATTTTGACCTGCACAACCCCAGAACATTCAGGACACAGCTCCAGACAAACTGACAGCATGCATGAGAAGGAAGCAGGGAAGCGGTGGAACCTGGCAGCCTTCCATCCCGTACCCTTCTGTGACTCTGTGCAGCAATTCCATTCAACTGGTTACTCCTGTGTTATCCAAAATTTCCTGCAACTCCTGATGCTGCTGTCTTGTCAGAAATAGCACAATCACACGAAAGTTGAACCATCTGCCTGCAGCCATGAATGGCTGACAGAATGGAGCATCAGTGCAGGGGGAGCTTGAGAAACTGCAGGATTTTGCCTAAAGGAACACCTTGACATTTACAAAGAGAAGAGCTTCGTCCTACACCAGAGGAAGAGGAACCCCACACATCAGGGCAGACTGGGACCCTGCTGAGTGAGCAGTGCCCAGGAAGAGGAGGGTCTGGGCCCCACGAGGGATCTCGTATGAGCTACTCAGTTAAGACCTGATGTGACATCACACAAATAGATGTCTACAGGAAACAGGGAAAGAGGTGCAGGTCTGGAAGACACTAAGATACTCTGGTCATCAGAGGAGCAAGGACATAGGCAAGGCTGAAAGTCCCAACAAACTGAGATTTTTGTGTCCATGCCTGTGGGTTGTTGTCTCTGTCACTGAGGCCTATGAGGAGACAGCTCATTGCTAAAGTACCAGGGCCTCCTTATTCCCCTGAAGAACCAGGCAGGGGTCGTACCATTCTCCTGCACATCCCCATCTCCTACTGCCCCAGGAAGAGCCTGGAGCAAGGTGGAAAGGGAAAGGTTCTCCCTTCCCAGGGGCTGGAGGTCAAGGCCTGGCCCTTGTGCTTGGTGACACGCATCCAGTTTGTCCACACATCAGTGTCACCTTCACACTGTCTTTGTCTCCTTGTCCTTACTGCCTCCAATGTTCTGCTCTAACGAGCTCCAAGGGAGGCTGTGTGAGTGCTGGCCCTCAGGGGGATACTACAGGAAACTTGCCTCTGACTTGGACTTCTTGAGAGATGTCTTCAATTGTCTCAGAGTGCCTGAGGTTTGTGGGCTCATCAGGAAAGCCCCCTGAGGGGTGATTCCGATGCCTTGGGCTGGGCCTCTAGTGCTGAGCTGGGCTGGACTCCTGGGACAGAGAGAGCTCATGGCAAGAGGGCCCTGGTGCAGAGAGACAACTCTGCCCAGGAGCAGCTCCTGTGCACAGTGCAGCAGGGCTGGAGGCTCTGACCACAGGTGGCACAGAGAGAGGAGAGAAGGAGAGAGGGCTTGGAGCCAGTTGGCAGTGGGAGGATGCTGAGAGCTGCCTGCAGGAGAAATCTGCACAGCCCTTGACAAGGTGTCTGGCTGCAGGGCCATGCAGCTGCAGGTCCTGGAAGGGTCTCCTGCTGGGTCTTGTTTGTGGGAGGGCAGTGGGCAATGCAGTAGGCTTTTAGAGTCCTGCTGGATTGCACTGCGAGGTAGGGAAGTCTGGCAGAAGCCCCTTGGAGTGCCCTAAGCCAGCTGCCCCTGGACAGCCATGAGCAGATTGGCCAAGCCTCCTCCAGACATTGCAGGGGTGCAGCTGGGATGCTGGAACACCCCAGCCTGTGGATATCCAGCTCTTTTCATGGGGCATCCTCCTGGTCTTCAGGCTGCTATCCAGCAGGATGCAGCTCTCTAGCGGCATCATTGTGTTATCCAGGTGCCCCAAGAACACGACACCTACGTGCTAAGGCCCTGTCTGTGCTGCTGGATGGCTGTCTGTGAGCAGCATAGTGTGAAGTGAAGCAGGAAGAGCCGAGGTCCTGCTCAGAACCCCAGAGACAAGCTGAGTTTTCTATCCAGCTGCACTTGGACTTGGGGTTCTCTGCCCTCAGCTTTCTCCAGTTTCTTCTCAGGGAAAAAACGGAGTGGGATGGTCCTGCATCTCAAAGACGGGAGATACAGGGCAGCTTAGAACAAGAGTAGCGGGTAATGGCTTCTTGAACTCTGGACACAGATGAGTTGTTTCCAACAACACTGCAAATCTCATTGACCTGAGAAGTGGACTGAATTTGAATTTCCCACATGTTCCTGCTTCCTTCCTGCTGCACAGCAGGAAGGACTCATCTACAGCCCACAGCAGCCTGTGCTCCCAGTGCCACTCTCAACCAGCACCAGCCAGAGCCCAAGCAAAAGAGCTGCAGAGACGTTCTCCTGCAAAGAGAGAGGCACAGGTGGAGTGGTGCTTTAAGGCTTGTAGTAGGTTTTCCTCTGCTTTGTTGTAAATTGTTGTAAATTTGTTCTGCCTTCTCCTCTTCAGCAGACAACTGTGTCCAGAGCCAGCAAATGCCCAACAGCAGCTCTGTGAGTGAGTTCCTCCTGCTGGCATTCGCAGACACGCACGAGCTGCAGCTCCTGCACTTCGTGCTCTTCCTGGGCATCTACCTGGCTGCCCTCCTGGGCAACGGCCTCATCCTCAGCGCCGTAGCCTGCCACCACAGCCTCCACACCCCCATGTACTTCTTCCTCCTCAACCTCGCCCTCCTCGACCTGGGCTGCATCTCCACCACTCTGCCCAAAGCCATGGCCAATGCCCTCTGGGACACCAGGGCCATCTCCTATCAAGGATGTGCTGCACAGGTCTTCTTTTTCTTCTTCTTGGTTGGAGCAGAGTATTCCATTCTCACTGTCATGGCCTACGACCGCTACGTTGCCATCTGCAAGCCCCTGCATTACGGGAGCCTCCTGGGCAGCAGAGCTTGTGCCCAGATGGCAGCAGCTGCCTGGGGCAGTGGCTTTCTCAATGCTGTCCTGCACACGGCCAACACATTTTCCCTGCCCCTCTGCCAAGGCAATGCTGTGGACCAATTCTTCTGTGAAGTCCCTCACATCCTCAAGCTCTCCTGCTCAGATGCCTACCTCCGGGAAGTTTGGGCACTTGTGTTTAGTTTTTCTTTGGGGTTTGGTTGTTTTGTTTTCATTGCTCTTTCCTATGTGCAGGTCTTCAGGGCAGTGCTGAGAATACCCTCTGAGCAGGGCCGGCACAAAGCCTTTTCCATGTGCCTCCCTCACCTGGCTGTGGTCTCCCTGTTTGTCAGCACTGCTGTGTTTGCCTACTTGAAGCCCAACTCAATCTCTTCCCCATCCCTGGACATGGTGGTGTCATTTCTGTACTCGGTGGTGCCTCCAGCAGTGAACCCCATCATCTACAGCATGAGGAACCAGGAGCTCAAGGAAGCCTTGAGGAAACCCTGGGTATAGGCCTCTTTGTCATTTATAATGGGACCACCATCCTAACAAGAGTCTTTAAAAAATAAATAAATCTATTAAGATAATCTTTTGTATTATTTTCCTTTTATGCTGTCTTCTGAAGTTATTTCTGAACATTCTGAATTCTCTTAGTTTCCTACCAGTTAATTATTATAATTATATATGTATATTTAACCGAAAATCTTACTACTCTCAATAAAGACTCCAGAAGAATTTGCTTGTCTCAGCAGCCCTAGCAGCAGGAGGGGCTCAGGGCCAAGAGCCCAGCTGCCACATGCAGGAGCAGCCCTGGTGGCCCTCGGGGCTGCCCCGCCCTGCCCGCTGGGCTCTGCCTCTCTGCTGCCTTCGGGTCGGGGCTGCTGCTTCCGTGGAGCCATGGCCATGGCCAGCAGCAAGACATGGCCTTGTCGCTGTTGCTCTCTTTTGGTCTCTACATTGTTCTCTTGAGCTCTTGTATGTGGGTTAGCCACGAGATCTCATGCACCTTCATGACTTTCCTGATGTACCTACAGTGGCATCTCCGCCACATCTCTGTACGCCTCTTCTAAAGCTGATGTCAGAAATACACCCAAGGAGATTCTCCCTGGACAGCCCTCTTGCTTTTCTGGGCTTCAGGATGGATCAAAGTCCCATAGTGATCACAGGAGGACAAAGGGCTGGACTGGGATCTGACTTCTTGGAAACACATGGCCCAGCAAACAATAATAACTGGGCTTGACTGGCCTGGGCATTTCCTGCAGTTGCTGGGTCTGATGGCAAATGGCATCGTGGAGAGGACTCTGGAGCTGCTCTGTGGCTGGGCCAGGCCTCTTGTGCTGGCCTGGGGAGCGGGGTTGGCCCTGCGGGGCACAGGCACTGTGTGCAGGGGATTTCCCAGGCAAGAGAGCAGGGCTCCTGCAGCTTCATGGACCTCCATTTCCCAAGCCGTGGCTGGCCCCAGTGTGGGGGCTGCTGGGGAGGCCCAGAACCACCTTTGTGCCAGCAGCTGCGGTGCCTTGCGAGGGGCTGGGGCTGTGGTGGCCATGCCCAGAGCCCTGTAGCAGCCTGCGGTGCGCAGTGCCCTGGGGCCAGCCCACCCTGAGCTACTTAGCTGGGCTGGGATGGGCTGGGCTGGGGAGAGGGCAGGGAGGTGGGGAGAGGTGGGCAGGGGCTGGGCTGGGCTGGGCAGTGCCCGTCAGAGGGCAACAGCAGCATCAGGGAGTAGTGGCAGCATGCAGGGGAGGGCTCCCAGCAGGGCTTGGTGCTGCAGAGCCAGGGCTGCGCCAAGGGAGCCCAGAGCTGCAGGGGCAGGGGAGAGGAGGCCGAGGGCCAGGGCGGCTGCTACAGGGGCAGGGAGCTCAGCATGGCCCTTGCAGCCCCCTGCCCTGGGCCTGCCTCTGCCCTTGGGCTCGGCCCCGGCCTTGGCTCTGCTGGCAGGAGCACTCTTGCCATGCGCTTCCTGGCCTCCCCTCAACTGTGCACAGCTGCTGCCCACTCAGGCTGCTGCCACAAACGTGTCCTCACCAGCAGCACCACCCTTGGGCGGCTTCTGCTGGCCTCCCCCAGCCCACTGCCTTGACTCCTTGTCTGTGCTGGTCCCCACTGTCCACACCCAAATGCGTCCCTTGACTGTCAGCTTCCTCACCGGTGCCCTGTGGGATGAGACTGCTTTGGGTGGGACACGTTACCCTTAGGTGTTGTAGTGTTTCTTTGTTTTTTTTGATGGCACAAAAAGTTCCTTCAGCAGTGATGTACATCCTTCTTCATGTTAGGCCATGATTCAGTGGCCTTCACAATTCTTAAAGTGTTTGCTTTATTTCAGAGATGAACTGGATTACGTCTCCTTGATTAGTCTGAGTCCCAATGCAATGCCTTTTGCCTTCTGCCACTCCTGCACAATACCTATGACTTTCCATTACTCTGTGCATTGACTTGATGGGTCATCTCACATTTTCCACTGTAATTCCCATAGTTGGAAGGGGATGGATTCCCAAAGTGCAGCAAGCTGATGGGTTATATCCTTGCTATTTGAAATTTCCTGTTCTTGAATCTTGCAACATGAATTTGCTGCAGATGTCCCTGGACGTAAATGGATGCTCAGCTGTCTACTAGGAACAAAGGAGAGTATCTTGGGTTCCCAATGGCCATTTCAACTTCAGGTCACTCTCAGGAATCCACTGAAGAAGGGGTGTTGTCTTTGAAGAGGTTTTCTGTGCTGGGCTGGACTGTAGTTGCAGGGAGACCAATGCCAGTAGCAGAGGTACCCTGGGAACTCCACCTGGCTCCAACTGAATCCCCCAAAGGGCTCTGGTCTCCTGCATGCCCTTTCTGATAGCTGCAAATCCAGGGAACTACTTCAAATACAACCAGGTCTCTGGTGGTTTCCCTGATTGCTTATGGTCAGACAGAAAAGTTCTGTGTCAATACCCAGTAACTTCATTAGTACTTAACTAATAGAACAACTACTCATCACTTCAAATGATTTAATCCCTTCCATGGAATGTCACACAGTGTAGTTTCTACCATGTAGAAATGTGAAATTTCAGGATGTATTTTCATCGCAGGAGAAGAAATACTGGTGTTCATCTGTAGTTGCATTGTCCTCTCATAGTCTGTCACAATGTGCTCCCTCATCTTCCAGGCACATCCACAAGTTTTGATTAAACAGACAATGCTGAATGTAGCTTTTCCAGCTATCTGCACCTATGCACTTCCCATGGTTCTGGTTTTCCCTCCTCTTACTCTTTGATCATTCACACTGCTCTCACCAACACAGCTGCTGCTTTGAGCATGAGGTAGAAGTAGCCCAACTGGCCCATCTATTAGCAATCCATATTTTTTTTTCTTTTAGCAAGAACCTCATACTTCGTCACTGAAATAATATGGTATGGATCAATGCTAACACTATTGTTCATAATTTCATATCTATCAGTATAAAATACTTCTTGTACATTCAATCTTTTGGGAAGGTAAACCTCAGAGAAGGAATAGAAGATGAAGAGGTTTTTATTTTATTTTATTTTATTTTATTATTTTATTTTATTTTATTTTATTTTATTTTATTTTATTTTATTTTATTTTATTTTATTTTATTTTATTTTATTTTATTTTATTTTATTTTATTTCATTTCATTTTATTTTATTTTATTTTATTTTATTTTATTTTAAAAATTGCTGCATGATTTCATTTTCTTTGGTTAGAAATAACAAAGACCCTTCTGTACCTGTGTACAGCCACATCTCTTAGGAAAGCAGGTAGAAGCTGCTGCAAAGGGGCTGTAGCATCCAGCTGCAGCCTTGAGTGAAGTCTAGTGTAAGGAAATAAGCAGCAAGCGCCAGGTGGCCAATGAGAGAAATGGCAGGGCTGGGGTGGTGACGAGCAAGGTTGTCCATGCAGTGTCAGACCTATAGAGTCTGCTTTTCCTCCCCACGCACTTCTCCAAGGGAGACACTCTGGATCAATATGAATTAGGGAATAATGGTCCCAAAAAAAAAGTCAACTCAATGCATCCTTTGAGATGAGACAAGATTGTTATTATGTGCTCTTCCTCCTTAACTAAACCATGAAAGCTCTACAATTAGCTCTACAAGTCTTGAAGCCGTGCACAAAACTATAGAGGGGATGTTAGGATTTTCTTCATTTTAATGAGTTCCATGGAGCATTTTGGTGTTGAGTCTATGAAGTTCAGCTACTGAGAGGAGAGTGATGCAACTGCTAGAGAAAGTAAAGTCAGGAGGACAAGTTGAAGTGACTTGGAGTATTAATGAGCCCCACTGAGGGCTTTTACTAACAAAGCCTCCCCAGGGACTTGTTAGGGTAGATAATTGGAGGCCATGATTGCAGACAGGCAAAACACTGTCCTGAGAAAAGTTTTGGTTTGCTTTGATGAAGCAGAAGGGCCAAGGCCTGCCACCAGCTACTGGCGGGGAGATCCTGTACCCCATGCCTGGCTCTGGGCTTTTCCTGGGAATCTGTGGGGTGTGGTGGGCAGTGTGATGCCTCGAGACAAACACTGGTAAGACACCTCCCAGCCTCTTCACAGGGTAGCAAGGAAGCAATGATGGACCATCGCAATGAGTATAATGTGTCTCCTCATAAGCTCTAGACAAAGGGACAAAAATGTCCGGGCTGTTGTGTCCTTCCATTCTTGCCAGCACCCACCTCTTTTTCCTCTATGCTGTATCACACTTAGTCCTATTTCCTTGAAGTCTACAGACACCTATCTCTTTTCACCACCTTGCTTTCTTCCTGGCATTTACATCATTTCACCAGTGTCTCATCAACGTTCACCAGCTGTTCCTTGAAACACAAAGCTAGGGGCTGAGCACAGACACTCTTTGGGTGACCTTGGGCACCACAGCACGGACCCTTTGAGGGATATTTCTTCCTCCTCGTGACAAGAGCCGACCTTCCATGGTGCATTTTGTGGCAGTTTTTTCTCTCCTGCTCTTTCCTACTACCAAAGAAAGCTCCATCAGGGTGGAAACCACTCCTGAAGCAGGCATCCCAACCCAGCAGGCTCCTTGCGGCCTGTCAGCCAAGCAGACACAAGTCACTTTCCAAGCCATGGGCCTACTGCTGGCCTTGCAGCTTCTTGTGGAGACACAGCCAAGCTTTGTGCCTGCTGCTGCTGTGCAGTCATGGACTCAAGTAGAAGGGACAGGACAACCCATCTGGGGGCCTTCTTTCTGCCTGGGTCCTCCTGGGTCTGGAGGCAGAGGGGATCCCCCAGTCAGCATGCCAAGCAGGTGCCTTCTGCTGGCCTAGCAGGGCCACTACCAGATGTCAGCCCAAAAGTGCAGATCCCAGGATGTAGTCAAGGGTGACCTGCCACCTACTTCAGACACAAGTGACCTCACAGCCCCTTTCCGTGACATGTTCCTGCTGCTGCCCTATCACGTGCAGAGACAGAAGTGACCTCTGCCCTTGTGAGGCCCCACTTGGAGTCCTGCATCCAAGGACTTGGACCCCCAGCAGAGGAAAGGTGTGCATCTGTTAGAACAGATCTAGAGGAGGGACAAAAAGATGATGAAGGGCACGTCTCCTATGAAGAAAGGCTGAGAGAGTTGGGGCTGTTCAGACTGGAGAAAAGAAAGCTCTGGGGTGACCTCTTTGTGGCCTTTCAGTACTTAAAGGGGGAGTATAAAAAGACGGAGAGTGACTCTTTGCTCAATCAGATAATGAGAAGACAAGGGGGAATGGTTTTAAGCTAAAAGAGGGGAGGTTTAGATTACTGGTTAGGAGAAAAATTCTTCAATTAGTGGGTATTGAGGTACTTGAACAGGTTGCTTTGTCCATCTTAGAGGTGCCCCTTGTCCACCTTAGAGGTGCCCCATCCCTGGAGCTGATCAAGAGCAGGTTAGATGAGGCCCTGGGCAACCTGATCTCGTGGGGGCATCCCTGCTTATGGCCAGGGGGTTGAACTAGATGACCTTTAAAGTCCCTTCCAACGGGAGCCATTCTCTGATTCTATGGTCTCACTAGCTCTACCTCAAGCATGACTCCCATCCCATTAGCCTTCCTGTGGTCTTTCACATGACCAGAACAGAAGGTGCCTCACCATCATCTTCAATGCCATGTGCATGCTTCTGCCCTTTATGGTCCCTATCTGTGCTACATTCCTGCTGCTGGTCCGTCAGCTCCAGAAACAGAAGTGACCTCCCAGCCTCCTTCACAGCCACGTGCCTCCTGCAGGCCCAGCACATCCTGAGGCACACCTGACTTCATCCCAGCATTCCCAGCCAGCTCCTCCTTGTGGCCTCTGATCTGATCACATAGCTGTCACCTCACATGCCTCTTCCAATGCCATGGGACTGCTGCAGGACCTCACGGTCCCTGCCCTGCCCCAAGGGGACAAACAGCTGAAGTTAGGGGTAGGAGTGGGGTTGAAGCTGAGATGTGCTGTGTGCATGGTGGAAGGCTGGTTAGATGATCAGGTTAATGTTTAGGAATTAGAGGTCACCCTCCAGGGTCAAGTGAATGGCAAAGCATCGAGAGAGGGATTGGTGTTTTGCTCAAGGATCCTGCTCAAGGTTTAGGATAAGGGCAAGTTTTGAGGACTTCAGTTTAGGTCTGGTTTGGGGGCTAAGGCTAAGGCTGTCTTTTTATTCCTTGATTAGGCTTTATCATCCTTCTGCTTCCCTTCCTATTAACAGATGAGTTTGACATCTGTCATTTCCAAGTTCTGAGGAATGTCTTTGATCCATCTGTCCTTTCCAAGGTCTTTGAGATAGGTCTTATGATGACATCTGCAGATCCACTTGAACTTCTCTCACCCTTCCCGTACCACCTCTAGGCAACGTGAGGACTGACTGGGAGGATGGTGGTTTAGGAAAGGGCTTCATTAAGATCTTTGAGGAGGGCTGTATTTGGGCTTCTCACAGACAGTGATGGCAGTATCATAGAAAACAGTGACACTCGTGAGGACAGAAGAGCAGGTGGATAAGGCCTTGGCCTGCCAATACAGGACACACACACACCTGAAAACTGCATGACAGGGAAGAGGGAGATTGGATCCAATATGTAGTTTATGAAATCAAAGACCGTGAGTAATACCTTGGCACTGCAGGACAGCTCCAGCAATGGGGAAAAACCACAGAAGATATCTATGACACTGGGACCACAGAACAATAGCTGGGAGGAGAAGAAATAACTTCTGTACATGAGAGAAATTCCCCTGGTTCAGGTACAGCTGCCTTCTGGAGCCAGACCTTCCACTACTCGAACCTTGCAGAGAACAGGGATGACATGCAGCCCAGGGCTGACCATAGGGCATGGTCCCCAGCAGGAAGAACTGCAGTCATGCAGGTGTCAGGCACCAGCACAGTGATGGGGGTGTTCCACATCCCAGTCATCGTGCTGGTCATGTGAGAGAGGAAGAAGAGATTTCTGTATGGGTAGAGGATTTTCTCTGTGGATTACTGGGAAAACTCAACAAATGCTGTTTAGTCTCCAATTCCCTTCTTGGACAACCTTTTAGAGCATTCGGTTCCCCCCTCTCTTGTTAGGACACATTCAGAGGGGTGAAATGATCCCTGGCAGTCGTGGCTGAGGTGTCCTGCCGTGCAGTAGGAACACAATAGGGGTTAAGGGAGGGAAACAGTTGTACTCATGTTTGACAATCAAACTTTAAGAGCCTAAAATCAGTCTCTCCCAAATTAATCTAGGAGCAGACAGTGATGACTTCAGTCTGCTTCAACCACCACACCCCAGCAGAGACCCTGCTGCCTTCAGGAGCTGTCAGCCCTGAGGCCTTGGGGACACCTCCAGGGAGCCCAAGGGCACAGAGCAAGCGATGCCATGGTCGGGTGCTGTGCTGCTGAGCTGGGCCGGGCTCCTGGGCCCAAGGGGAGCTCCTGGCAACTGCTGCAGAGAGACAGCTGTGCCCAGGAGCAGCTCCTCTGCACAGCGCAGCAGGGCTGGGGGCTCTGACCGCAGCTGGCACACAGAGAGGAGAGAAGGAGAGAGGGCTTGGAGGCACTGAGGAGCGCAACAACAGAGGGCAGCGTGTGGCAGGACACATCTGCAGGCTCCTGACACCGTGAGGCTCTGGCAGCAGGGCCATGCAGGTGGGGTTGCCAGAGGGGTCCTCTACAGCTGGCACATCCAATGGCTGATAACATCTGTCAGGGTGAGTTTCTCTGTTTCTCCAGAAACGAGTAGAAAATGCTTTAGAGAATGGCATTTATGATTGGATTTTTGAAAAGGAAGACCAAGGCAGGGGATACCTGAATGGCAAGACTTTTTCTGTAGCCTGTGCTTGCAGATACCTGTGGTACAGCGGAGGCTGGTTTCATGGTAATAGGTGGTCAGGTTTGTACTGAAGGCTGAGACTCCTAGAACATTGCAGTGAGAGATCAATATTTAATCAATGAACTTCATAAAGTCCCTTCCAACAGTTCAGCCCAGAAACTACACCAACATCATCATTGTGGTCCTCTCAGGTTTTATACTAGCTGATCTTTTGGATCTGCAAATCCTCCAGTGACCAGTGCCCTGTCTTTTGGAGGTCTCTGCTGGCTTGAGGTGAACACAGATCATTTGCAATGAGCAGGAGCTGCCTCGTCTGCAGGCAGAGCTGCAGCACAGGAGGGTCTGCTGAGTGTCTGTCTGTCCCTCCCTGGCCTTGCCTCCCCTGGCAGCAGCACGTTGGCATTCCTCCTGGCTTCTCCAGCTGGCCGTGCTGCTGCTGGTCTTGTTCCCAGGCTGGCTGGGGATGGGGATTTCAGAGGCAGTGGTGTGCCCTTGGTGTGTTTGGGGAAAGGGGAGTACGGGGACAGAGTGAGGGGTGTGGAGATGTGCAATTTGATCCCAGATTCTTCTGCTGTCAGCAGTGTTCAGGTTCTTTTCAGATGAACAACTGAGCACAACTTTCCTGCAGCTCTCACAGGGCAGCTGAGACCAGCACTGATGGAGAGGCTGGCTGTTGTGTCTGAGGGACACTCGGCACTAAAGGGACAGTGTCTTTGCCTCTGAGGATCCGCAAAGTTTCACTTGGAGTGCAGCAGAATGCTCAGGATTTATGCCTTAGAAACAGTTCTCCGGTGTGGTGGGGCAGCTACAACCAAAAACACAAAACAAATAATTACATATCTAAACCTCCACACCTCTGCTCTGCAGTTAGGTGAACTAGCAGCAAAACTGGGGAAATCTCTTTGATACAGCAGTAAAGTTAATCTGAGACTACCCCATGTTCCTACCATGTTCCTACCATGTTCCTACCATGCTACTCCCTCTGGCAGTAGTACAGAACTGATTCTTCCATTGCCCACAGAGGATCCCCTGCTCCCAGAGGCACTCTCAGGCAGAATCAATGAAAGAGAGCTTCAAAATATCTGCCTGGAAATGGGCAATTTTTTGGTGATTTTAAATGAGAAAATGGAAAGGATTTTACTCCGATATGTCTGTGGTACATTATCACTGCCTTTGTCTTCCTTGTACAGGACCTCATGACCAGAAATAAGAGATGTCTAATGTCAGCTCTGTGAGTGAGTTCCTCCTGCTGGCATTCGCAGACACACGCGAGCTGCAGCTCCTGCACTTCGCGCTCTTCCTGGGCATCTACCTGGCTGCCCTCCTGAGCAACGGCCTCATCCTCAGTGCCGTAGCCTGCGACCACCGCCTCCACACCCCCATGTACTTCTTCCTCCTCAACCTCGCCCTCCTCGACCTGGGCTGCATCTCCACCACTCTGCCCAAAGCCATGGCCAATGCCCTCTGGGACACCAGGGCCATCTCCTATCAAGGATGTGCTGCACAGGTCTTCTTTTTATTCTTCTTTTTTGGTTCAGAGTGCTATCTCCTCACCATCATGGCCTATGACCGCTACGTTGCCATCTGCAAGCCCCTGCACTACGGGAGCCTCCTGGGCAGCAGAGCTTGTGCCCAGATGGCAGCAGCTGCCTGGGGCAGTGGCTTTCTTGATGCTGTCCTGCACACGGCCAACACATTTTCCCTGCCCCTCTGCCATGGCAATGATGTGGACATGTTCTTCTGTGAAATCCCCCAGATCCTCAAGCTCTCCTGCTCAGACTACTACCTCAGGGAAGTTGGGGCACTTGTGTTTAGTGTTTCTTTCACATTAGTTTGTTTTGTTTTCATTGTGGTGTCCTATGTGCAGATCTTCAGGGCAGTGCTGAGGATGCCCTCTGAGCAGGGCCGGCACAAAGCCTTTTCCACGTGCCTCCCTCACCTGGCTGTGGTCTCCCTCTTTATCAGCACTGGCATGTTTGCCTACCTGAAGCCCCCCTCCATCTCCTTCCCATCCATGGATCTTGTTGTGGCAGTTCTGTATTCAGTGGTACCTCCAGTAGTGAACGTCCTCATCTACAGCATGAGGAACCAGGAGCTCAAGAATGCAGTAAGGAAACTCTTTGGAAACCTGTTTTTTTGGAATCAATAATGACTGTGAGTTCCCTGATTATTTCAGGAACTGTGAAGAAAAACTAATTATTACATTTCCCTAAAATATTTTCTTCAAATTATTCCTTTTGATTTAAATAATATTATCCTTAACCTGCTACCTGATTTTTTTTTCATTTTAAATACCCAATCTTCTAATTACCTAAAGAAGCAGGCTTACCATGTAGAGAAACACAGACAAAAAGAAAAACTAAAACAAAAACAAACATCAGAACCACATTGTTACCCGCTACCATCTCTTCCAATCTCCTCTGGAGCTGGGGAAGCAGCCCCAGCATGCAGGAGGGGCGCAGGACCAGGAGCCCTGGTGTCAGATGGAGGTTGGGTCAGGGCTGCTGCTTCCCTGGAGCCAGGGCCATGGCCAGCAGCAGAACGTGGCCTTTTCACTGCTTCTCTCTTTTGGTCTCCACATTTTTCTCCTTTTCTCTTGTATTTGGATAAGCCATCAGATCTCGTGTACCTTGGTAACAGTCCTGTTGTCTCTACAGTGGCATCCCAATTCCTGAAGGCAGCAGCAAGTACAGTGCAGCCGTGGGTGACAGCTGGCCTCCCTGCTAGCACCACAGTAACAAGAGGGTCTTGCTCAGGGCAAACCCACAAGCCCAGATGCCTCTTCCAAAGCTGCTGCCAGGAATACAGCCAAGGGGTTGCTCCCTGCTCTTCCGTTTTCTGGGCATCTTTGTAGAGTTTAGTCTTAAAAAGTCCCAGGGTGTTCTGTGAGGGATCAAGGGCTGCACCAAGTGCTCTCTTTATGGTGGCAATTCCCTAAGTAGACAACTGGATTGATCTCAATGGGGCTGCACCTCCTGCAGTGGGACTGATGGCGGATGCAGGCCTGGAGAGGAATCTGGAGCTGCCAGGAGATGTCAGGGGATCTGCAGGGACAATATGCTCAGTGGGTAGTGATTAGGACCTTGTAAAATGTGTGACCATCCAAGGAAGAAATGTTAGGTATGTTTTTTAGAGGGAAAAGTAAATCTGAGGTGTCCTTATTCTAAGCAGGTCTCTGCAATGTCACGGGAGGCAGTGAAGAGCCAGCAGGGGAAGGCCTGTAAGACTGCAAAGTAACAGTGAAGACCCACCTTGTAGGATCCTGGACCAGGTCTGGTGCAGCACTCGCCTGCCCTTTGTGCCCTGAGAGACACCCCCCGGCCCTGCCCATCATGGCTCTGCAGAGTACCCCCATGCCCCGGGCACTACAGCCCCCTCGCTCTGCAGAGCAGCACCTCTGGTTGTCATGTCAGAGATCTCAGCTTTTGCCTAAAGTCATCCTCCACGGCTACTTTCAGTTTTCTTCACAGAGGCAGCCAGTGCCCCCAAGATCCCTGGGGGAAAGTGAAGCATGCATGAGGGCCTGGGAGAAGTTAGCCTGGATCAGTAGGAGCCATTCTGGAACTAAAACTTAACATCAGGAAGCTCACTTCTGTGGTTGTACAGAGATGCTGGGCACATTGTGCAAGGTGCTCCTAGACATGTTTGTGTCCTCTTCCATTTTGCCTTAAGTGCCACTTCTGTCTTAGGAATGGAGTAGCCAACAGAGGTGAGACAGATGCTCTGAGATCATGAAAGCCATCAGAAAGCTGATCCCAACAAGATTACTGCTATGGGGAGGTCAGCTGAACCCTGGTTAGGAGTGATTTGGGATTTAGGGGACGGAAGAGGAGCTAGGGCAGCAGAAATTCATGATTTGGAAGATGAAAAAATGTTCAGGTAATGTTCATGCTGTTCTAACACTGACTTCAAAAATTCATTTGAGGCCCTTCCAATGTCTCAACCTGTAAACTTAATCCCTAACCCTAAATGCTACTCCACACCCTGACAGGAATCCACTACTCTAATGCCAGACCTCATAGTATCCCTTGAAGCCAAAACTCAGTCCATAGCCTCTTTCCCTTATGCTTACTCTTTTGTTTACCTTGATCCCTGCCCTTAATCCTAGCATTGAAATGCTCTGTTTAATCCTAGACAACTTCTTTACAGACCTAAACAAAACCCTAAACCACAGAGCTTCCCCATACCCTAAGCACAGACATCCCACCTTAAACAGAAGACCAAACACTTCCACTAAATTTTCCTTAATCTCTAACTCAGAAAGGTGAGCCCTAGTCCCTAACACCGTATATGAACATCTAACACACAAAGCCCCTCTTCCTGTGCATTAACCTCCCCACCTTCAAACCCTCTCGTAACCCTTAACTTTAGGCACTTGGCCCCTTGAGGCAGGGCAGGAACCGTGAGGTTGCCGTGAGGTCTCACGGCATTCAAATCCAAGTGAGGACTGACATCTGGCAGTGGCCTTGCTAGGCCAGCAGAAGGCACCTGCTTGGCATGCTGACTGGGGGATCCCCTCTGCCTCCAGAGCCAGGACGACCCAGGCAGAAAGAAGGCCCCAACATGGGTTGTCCTGTCCCTTCTGCTTGAGTCCATGACTGCACAGCAGCAGCAGGCACAAGGCTTGGCTGTGTGTAGCCAAGAAGCTGCAAGGCCAGCAGCAGGCCCCTGGCTTGGAAGGTGCTGCTGAGGTGACTTGTGTCTGGTTGGCTGACAGGCTGCAAGGATCCTGGTGGGTTGGGGTGACTACTTCAGGAGTGGTTTCTACCCTGATGGAGCTTTCTTTGGTAGTAGGAAAGAGCAGGAGAGAAAAAACTGCCACAAAGCACACCTTGGAAGTTATGCACTGGCCACGAGGAGGAAGAAATATCCCTCAAAGTACATTGCTGTGGTGCCAGAGGTCAACCAAAGAGTGTCTGTGATCAGACCCTAACTTTGTGTTTCAAGTAACAGCTGGTGAGGGTTTGTGAGACATGGGTGAAATGATGGAAATGCCGGGATGAAAACAAGGTGGTGAACAGAGATGGGTGTCTGCAGACTTCAAGGAAATAGGGCAAAAGTGGGATAGCACAGGAATGCCTGCAGAGGATAAGGCAGCGGGTGCTGGTAAAAAGGGAAGGCCCCAAAAACCCTGAGCTATTTGTCCCTTTGTCTAGAGCTGATGAGGAGATGAGAAGTAGTCATTGCACTGGAGCCTCATTGCCTCCTTGCAACCCTGTGCAAATGGAGGTGTTACACCATTGTTCTTCCCAAGGCATCACACTGCCCACTACATCCCACAGACCCCCAGGAAGAGCCCTGACATGGACAGGGGACTGCAGGATCTCCCCTCCCAGTTCCAGCGATCAGTGCTTGGACCTTCTGATTCATCAAAGGAAACCAAGACTTCTCAGCACAGCGCCTTTGCCTGTCTGTAATCATGGCCTCCAATTATCTGCCCTAACAAGGCCCTGGGGAGGCTTTGTTAGTAACAGCCCTCAGTGGGGCCCATTAATTCTCCAAGACACTTTGACTTTTCCTTCTGACTTTACATTCTTAAGCAATTGCATCGCTCTCCTCTCTGAGGAGTTCAATGGTGTATTTTGGTGCACAGTCTATGAAGCTCAGTACCAGAGCTTCATTGACTGTGCACGTAAATACACCATGGAATTCATTAAATTGAAGAAACTCCTAAGATCTCTTCAATACTTTTCTTCATGACTTCAAAACTTGTACAGCTAATTACAGAGCTTATGTGATATTCTTAAGGAAGAAGATTTCAAAAAGCACCTAATACATATCTTTTATTGTTTTAAAGGCTAAATTTTGCTGCATTACAGTTTTCAGCATCATTCTTCTATTGCAATTGATCCAAGGAAACGTCTTTGGAGAATTCAATAAGGAGCAGAGAAAATCAGAGTCTGGAGGTCTGAAACCTCTACTGCCAGCAGTGGTCTTGGTCCCTGTAACTGCAGCCCAGCCCACACATGAAACCTTTTCAAAGACAAGTCAGGCATTTCTTGGTTAAAATAATGAAGCAAATAAAATAAAATAAAATAAAATAAAATAAAATAAAATAAAATAAAATAAAATAAAATAAAATAAAATAAAATAAAATAAAATAAAATAAAATAAAATAAAATAAAATAAAAAAGTTGAAATGACCATCAGAACTTGAGAAATTCTGGTTAAATCTTATTAGACACCTGGACATGGTCCTCTTGTGTCTTCTGTCGAAAACTCAGAATGAAAATTAAAAAAATATATCTTCAAGTGGCTGTAGATCTACCCATAAGCTTGGCCTCGTTTAGGAAATTGTCCTCTTCCAGCCACGGAAACCTTAATTGAGTGATGTGAAAAGACCTGCCCAGTCAGTAGAGTAGGGTAAAGTCCTACTTGCTGTGCTATAGATGCAGAAGGCAAAAAGAATTGCGTTGTGCCTGACACTACTCTGGGACGCCATCACTAAAGCACGCTCCCAAGCTCTACAGCTACACCTTGGCTCTCCAGTCAATGACCCAGCTCATGGATGGCAATCAGGGAGTCTTGGTTAGCACAACGCTGCCTCAGGTGCTCCACCATGGTAGCCATTGGCACCTGCTGCTCTTCAGCCCTCAGCAAACCCTCAACAGAAGGAGTCTGTGGAAGGCCAAGCAAGGTAGACAACTGTTTCATGTCCTTTGTCTCCAAGACAACTCTGCCAAAGCCCCACCAGTGGTGCCCTCTTGGAACTTTGCAGTTCCCTTTCCTGATGCAGTCTATGCCAAGGATGCACATAGCCTCCGGACCAGTCCCAATGGGGTGCTTTTGCCATTCCTTCCCAGTTAGACTCACTTTATCCTCCAGTACAGTTATCTCTTGGGATGCCCCTATCCCTCCAGAAATATAGGTGTGTTCTACCTCTTTCTAGCTTGATGGCATTAGGGTACTCTGTGCACCGGTGTCCAGTAGAGCCTGATACATTTGTGGGTCTGATGTACCCGGCCATTAAATATACCTAGTCCACTAAATCCCATTGTCCCTTTCCTCCCTGCCTCCCCCTGTCTGTAAGCAGGACCCCTCTAGTCCAACTTGTATTTATTACTGTGTCTGGTAGACCGCCCACTGGAAACACGTCCCACCATGGCACTGTCACTCCATGGTGCAGTGGAGAGGGTGTTGATAGTGTTAGGAATGTTTTAACTATTTGTGTCCATAAAGAACAGTCCTGTCTGCCTCTGGGCCCTGCGTTGGCAATTTAATTCTTGAACCACAGATGCAGTGTGTCCCAATCTCCCCCTCAATCTAGTCAATTTATCAAGTCTTCAGAAAATACTCTTCAAATTTATGAACCTGTTTGCTTTTGTTATTCCGAACTTCTATTTCTAACAGTTACAGCCTTTTTTTTTGTCTTCTTCGAGATCAATTTAACACTGCTATAGGTGTGACTGTCCCTGTGAATGGCTGGTGAAGAATGTTTTAGTTACTGGTGAAGTGTCAATAAGAAAGCTATTTGTGTTTGTATGAAGTCTTTGATGTCTGGGGGTTTCAGAACAACTGAAAACAACTAGTGACTGTCATGGGATACTATGCAAGCCTCTGATATCTGGCCAGGTGGCCAAGAGATTAAGAAGAAGAAAAAAGAAGCTAAAGGACGGCTGGGAGACAAGACCTGCAGAAAATGTTCTATAAACTTGGAATTGTGCCGAGTAAGTACAAAGGGTGAGAGGAAGACTACGAGCCTTCAGCATGAAAGACCCCTAGAGACCCCCAGAGGGACCACCGGAGACTGATGCGCATGCTCCAGTAGGAGGAACTGGACCCCGGAAGCTAATTATAATAACCTATTTTTTTTAGAAGTAGTAATGAATATGTATTAGTCTAGGAGTATAAAAATCAGCTACTTGATGTGGCTGGTGTGCGTCCTGGAAGAAAAAAACAATTGGTCTTGCTGCTAGAGTCAGAGGCAAAGAAGGAATTAAGAGTCTCAGCCTTTACCTCCTTTCTTGTTACCAGGTTTCCGTCCACATCCAATAAAGGATGATGTTTCTCCCTAATCTTCCTTTATTTGAAGTATTTATATAAGCAGTTTTTATTGTCTTTGACAGTAATATACCACTGGAGCTCCAGCTGGGCTTTGGCCCTTCTAATTTTGACCTGCACAGCCCCATAACATTCAGGACACAGCTCCAGACAAACTGACAGCTTGCATGAGATGGAAGCACAGAAGAGGTGGAACCTGGCAGCCTGCCATCCCCTGCCCTTCAGTGACTCTGTGCTGCAATTCCATTCAATTGGTTACTATTGTATTATCCAAACTTTCCTGTAGCTCCTGATGCTGCTGTCTTGTCGGAGAGAGCACAATCACACAAAGGCTGAACTGCCTGCTTGCAGACATGAGCATCTGACAGAATGGAGCATCAGTGTGAAGGAATCTTTAGGAATTGCTGGATATTGCCTAAAGGAACCACTTGACACTTTCAAGGAGAAAAACCCAGAAGTGCACCAGAAGAAGAGGAAACCCACATATCAGGGAAGACTGGGACCCTGCTGAGTGAACAGTGCCCAGGAGGACGAGGGCCTGGGCACCACGAGGGATGCCATACGAGCAGTGGTGCCTGCTCACCAGGAACCAGGCCAGCTTCCTACAGAGCTGCCCTACAAGGAGCATGGCCACCAAGAAGATCTGAGTTATCAGACTCAGTGAAAGATTTGGGAGTCTGGGAGTCCCTCAGCCTGGTGAGGAGAGGAGCAATGGCTGTGGCAAGGCTGTAAGTCCCATCAGGACTCAGGTCTTTGTGCCCATGGCTATGGCTGTTGTCTCTGTCACTGAGGCCTATGAGGAGACAACCGATTGCTAAAGCACCAGGGCCTCATTGCCTCCTCGCCCCCACCCATGAAGCACGCAGGGGTCGTACCATTCTCCTGCACTTGGCCATGAAAATCCCCATCTCCTACTGCCCCACAAAGAGCCCTGAGCAAGGTGTGACTGCTAAGGATCTCCCTTCCCAGGGGACATGGGTCAAGGCCTGTACTTTGTGCTTGCTGACACACATCCAGTTTTCCTACACATCAATGTCACCTTCACATTGCCTTTGTCTCCTTGTCCTCACTGCCTCCAGGGTTCTGCTCTAACGAGCTCCAAGGGAGGCTGTGTCAGTGCTGGCCCTCAGGGGGACACTGCAGAAAACTTGCCTCTGACTTGCACTTCTGGAGAGATGTCTTCAATTGTCTCTGAGTGCCTGAGTTTGGGGGCTCATCAGCAAAGCCCCCAGAGGGGTGATTGCAGTGCCTTGAGCAGGTGCTGTGCTGCTGAGCTGGGCCTGGCTCATGGGACAGAGAAAACACATTTCAAAAAGTCCCACGAAGCAGACAGACAGCTGTGCCCAGGAGCAGCTCCTCTGCACAGCTCAGCAGGGCTGGGGGCTCTGACTGCAGCTGGCATGGGGAGAAGAGAGAAGGAGAGAGGGCTTGGAGGCACTTGGCAGTGGGAGGATGCTGAGAGCTGCCTGCAGGAGAAACCTGCACAGCCCTTGACAAGGTAAGGGTCTGGCTGCAGGGCCATGCAGCTGCAGGTCCTGGAAGGGTCTCCTGCTGGGTCTTGTTTCTGGGAGGGCAGTGGGCAATGCAGTAGGCTTTGAGAGTCCTGCTGGGTTGCCCTGCGAGGTGAGGAAGTCTGGCAGAAGCCCCGTGGAGTGTCATAACCTCGCTACCCCTGGTCAGATAAGACCGCGGTGGACAAGCCTCCTCCAGACCCTGCAGAGGGTGCAGCTGGGATATGGGACACTCCAGCTTTCAGATATCCAGCTCTGTCTGTGGGGCATCCTCATGGGCTGCAGGCTGCTCTCCAGCAGGATGCAGCTCTCTTGTGGCATCCTTGTGTTATCCAGGTGCCCCAAGGAGAAGACACCTCCATGCTAACACCATGGCCTTGCGTCCTGATGGCTGTCTGTGGGCAGCAGCAATGAGACCTGTCTAGGAGGGAAGAGCTGAGATCCTGATCAGTCCCCTGGAGAAAAGGTGAAGATTCTGTTCAGCTGCACTTGGAGTGGGGCTTCTCTGCTCTCAGCTGTCTCCTGTTTCTTCTCAGAGCAGCACCCGAGAAGGATGGTCCTGTAGCTAATAGAGGGGTATCCCAGGGCAGCAGAGAGCAGGACTGATGGGCAGAGCTGCTCTGCTCAGTCTTCCCCAGAGGACAAGTCCTTTGCCTCTTGGCACCCACAGGATATCACCTGGAGTGTGCAAGTAATGTCAGGGAGATCCGCCATCAAATACCTCTCCTATGTGTTATATGGGCAACTAGGATAAAATAAAGTGAGGAAAATAGTTGCAGCTTTGCTCCACAATCAGCTCAGTTATTTGCAACAATACTGCAAAGCTCATTGGTCTGACATTTTTCTGACTTTGAGTTATCCACCCTTCTGTTTTATTTCCTATTTTCCTTAGAGAGGTCTGTTCTAGTATTGCTCTGCCTTCTCCTCTTCAACAGAGAAGCAAGTAGAAAGTCAGAGAATGCCCAACAGCAGCTCTGTGAGTGAGTTCCTCCTGCTGGCATTCGCAGACACGCGCGAGCTGCAGCTCCTGCACTTTGCACTCTTCCTGGGCATCTACCTGGCTGCCCTCCTGGGCAACGGCCTCATCCTCAGCGCCGTGGCCTGCGACCACCACCTCCACACCCCCATGTACTTCTTCCTCCTCAACCTCGCCCTCCTCGACATGGGCTGCATCTCCACCACTCTGCCCAAAGCCATGGCCAATGCCCTCTGGGACACCAGGGCCATCTCCTATCAAGGATGTGTTGCCCAAGTACTTTTTTTAGTCTTCTTTTTTGATGCAGAGTTTTCCCTTCTCACCGTCATGGCCTACGACCGCTACGTTGCGATCTGCAAGCCCCTGCACTATGGGAGCCTCCTGGGCAGCAGAGCTTGTGCCCAGATGGCAGCAGCTGCCTGGGGCAGTGGCTTTCTCAATGCTGTCCTTCACACGGCCACTACATTTTCCCTTCCCATCTGCCAAGGCAATGTTGTGGACCAGTTCTTCTGTGAAATCCCCCAGATCCTCAAGCTCTCCTGCTCAGATTCCTATCTCAGAGAAGTCTGGGCAATTCTATTTAGCATTTTGATAGCATTTGGTTGTTTTGTTTTCATTGTGGTGTCCTATGTGCAGATCTTCAGGGCTGTGCTGAGGATGCCCTCTGAGCAGGGCCGACACAAAGCCTTTTCCATGTGCCTCCCTCACCTGGTTGTCACCTCCCTGATGATCAGCACTGCCATCTTTGCCTACCTGAAGCCCCCCTCCATTTCCTCCCCATCCCTGGACCTGGTGGTCACACTTCTGTACACTGTGGTTCCTCCAGTAGCAAACCCACTCATCTACAGCTTGAGGAACCGGGAACTAAGGGATTCCATCAGGACTCTACTTGAATACACACATCGTCAGCAAATTCACCTATAATACTATGCCTAATATTAGAAATCTCAGCTATTCTCAGAAAGAAAATAATATGATGTCTTCTATTATTAAATGTCTGTATTATTATTTTCTCTCATTATTACACATTTGATTAAATATTATTCCTAGCCCCCTACAAGTCAATTATTTTTCTGTAGAAGATGGCTTCCTGTGTAGATAAACCTAATAAGAAAGCCATCAGAAATGCATTGGTCTGAGCTGCAATCTCTTCCAATCTTTTCTGGAGCTGGTGAAGAAGCTCCTGCATGCAGGAGGAGCTCGAGACCAAGAGCCCAGCTGCCACACGCGGAAGCAGCCCCAGTGGCCCTCAGGGCTGCCCCTCACTGCCCGCTGGGCTCTGCCTCTCTGCTGCCTTCGGGTCAGGGCTGCTGCTTCCCTGGATCCATGGCCATGGCCAGCAGCAGGAAGTGGCCTTTTCACTGCTTCTTTCTTTTTGGTTCTTCATTGCTTTCTTGTGCTCTTGTATCTGTCTTAGTCTCGAGGTCTCATATGCATTGATGACAATCCTGTTGTCTTTGCAGTGTCTGTGTCTGCAGGCAGCAACAGGCACTGTGCAGCCCTGGGTAACAACTGGCCTACCTGCTAACACCTCAGTAACAAGTGGGTCTTGCTCAGGGCAAACCCAGGATCCTGGACACCTCTTCCAAATGTGCTATCAGAAATAGAGCCAAGAGGTTGCTCCCTGCTCTTTTGTTTTCTGGGGTTTGTCATGAAGTGAGGGACAGAGGCTGAAAGCCCCAGGGTGGTCCCTGAGGAACCAAGGGCTAGGCCAAGAACTCCCTTTGTGGCAGCACATGCCTAAATAGACAACACTGCCCACTGCAGTCTGTCAGATGGCCAATGTCAGCCTGGAGATGTCAGGAGATCTGCAGGGACAGGGTGCTCAGTGGGTAGTGATTAGAACCTCATAAAATGAGTATCCAAAGAAGGGTCTGGTAAAGGAAAAGGGGAATCTGAGGATTCAATGGGCTAAAGCAGGGCGCTGCAATGCCAGAAGACATGGTGGAGAGCCATCAGGTGAAGGCCCATAAGGCTGCAAAGCAACAGTGAAGACCCTCCTTATAGGCTCCTGGGCCAGGTCTGGTGCAGCACTCGCCTGCCCTTTGTGCCCTCAGAGACACCCCATGGCCCTGCCCAGCACTGCCCTGTGCTGCTGAGCCATCAGGGCAGATGGAAAGGGGCTCAGCAGCAGAGATCCCCATGGACGTAGGTCTGCTGCCCACCCTGAGCAGCATGGGCAGGGGGGGGAGACCTGCGGGGGTCCCAGGGCACCACAGCCCCTGGCTCTCACAGCAACACCGCCAGCTCGGGGCCCTGCAGGGAGCACAGGGAGGGAAGCAGCAATGGCTGGCCAGGCCAGCACAAACACACTGCCCGGGGTAAGGCTCTTTGGGAGCAGGGATGGCCCTGGGGAAGAGCAGGGCAGCATTGTTGGGCCTGCACTGAGGGGAAAGGGGAAAGGGAAAGCTCTTTGTACAGGCCCCTGCTCGGGGCAGGCTGCTCTGTGGCTGGGCCAGGCCTCTTGTGCTGGCCTGGGGAGCGGGGCTGGCCCTGCGGGGCACAGGCACTGTGTGCTGGGGATCTGCCAGGCAAGAGAGCAGGGCTCCTGCAGCTTCACGGACCTCCATCTCCTGGCTCCACGGACACCTCCTTGCTCCATGCATCCAGCAGATAAACACCGATCGGCCACCTGCTTTCTCTTCTTCTAGACGAACTGGGGACAGAATAGCAAAACCAAGTAAAACTCACAAATTGTGAGCCACAGAAGGTCCTGATGCTGTGCAAGAAATGCTCAAAAACAGCAACCACAACTGTGGGTGATCATCACTGGTCACACAACCAAAACAGTACCACAAAGGGCTGCTTTGCAGAGAGTAACTCCGTGCCAGCCACAGCCAGTACAGGGCCCCTGATGGACAAGAAGACTCCCTCTGCACTCTGGAGGATCCAGGAAGGTGCTAATAAGCACCAGGAAAATTGAGGAAGTCCAAAGACCCTTCTGAAGGGTCACTGATTGTCACCTGAGAGGCAGTGCTGGGCAGTGGGGAGGGCCAGGAGAAAGACTTGTGAGAAGGCTGTGAGAAACAAGGAAATCCATGGCTTTAGCAGATCCTTAAAGTCCTGCATGAGTCCCCAGATGGAAAGCAATCTATGTCTGTGGGTAGACGAGAAGGAAGTGGTGAGTCCCGGATGGGGGGCAGGGCTGAAGGTCCCTGCATGAAGCTGGGCTGATGGAGAAGTGTCCACCTTGCATGTGTGCCTCAGCCTGGGAGCAGGGGCCTGCCCACGGTGCGCGATGGCTGGGCTGTGCTCAGCCATGCCCCAGGAGATGACCTTGCTCTCTTCCTCCCCACCACTCCCCACACAGGGCAGGCCCTCAGCAAACACCCCTGAGCCTGGAGACGCACCAACCTGCTGCACTGAGGTGCCACTACTGCAGGAGAAGAAGGGAGGGTTGGAGAGACACGTGGGGCCTGCGGGCAAGAGTGGTGTGGCCTGGGGAACTGAGTGCCTGGGAAAAGTTAACCTGGAGCCATAGGAGCCATTCTGGAAAGAAAACTTGTAGGCAGGAACCACACTTTTGTGGCACTGCAGAACTGCTGGGCACATTGTGCAGGGTGCTCTGATGGACTTGTGTGTCCTTTTCCATCATGTCTTAAGTGCCACTTTTCTCAGGAATAGAGTAGCCAACAGAGCACTGACAGATAGTCTAAGATCATGAAAGGCATCATAAACATGCCCCTAAAAAGATAACTGATATGGGGAAATCAAGAGAAGCATGGCCAGGAGAAATGTGACACTGAGAGAAGGGAATAGGGGCTTGGCCAGACAAAATTAAGGATGTTGTAGAGGTAAGAGGGTTCAGGTTATGCTGATGCAGCTGTAACTGTGACTTTAAATAGTCATACAAGGCTATTCCCCAGCTTCAACCTGTAACCTTATTTTCTAAACATAAATGCTACTCAGCACCCTGACAGGAATCCACTACTCTAATGACTGACCTCAACGTATCCCTAGAAGACAAAACTCAGCCCATAGCCGCTTCCCCTAGCTCTTACTCTCTTAATCACTCTGATCTCAGCCCTTAATACTAGCATTAAAATGGTCTATTTAATACTAGAAAAATGCTTAAGAGACCTAAAACAAACCCTAACTCCAAATAAATGTGAGGGGCCATGGATCTGATCAGCTTGTGGGCCAAAAGGAGGAGATGGGTGGGAATGCTCTGAGGAGCTCAGCTCTGCCTCAGGATCTCCTGCCCCAGCAGGAGGAATGTGACTGTGGCAGGGACTGTGAGGTCACTTCTGTCTCTGCACTTGATAGGGCAGCAGCAGGAACGTGTCAAGCAAAGGGACTGGGAGGTCACTTCTGTCTGGAAGTGGCAGGTCAGCCTTGGCTTCTCCCTGGGATCTGCACTTTTGGGCTGACATCTGGCAGTGGCCCTGCTAGGCCAGCAGAAGGCACCTGCTTGGCATGCTGACTGGGGGATCCCCTCTGCCTCCAGAGCCAGGAGGACCCAGGCAGAAAGAAGACCCCAGATGGGTTGTCCTGTCCCTTCTGCTTGAGTCCATGAGTGGGCAGCAGGAGGCACAAGGCTTGGCTGTGTGTAGCCAAGAAGCTGCAAGGCCAGCAGCAGGCCCCTGGCTTGGAAGATGCTGCTGAGGTGACTTGTGTCTGGTTGGCTGACAGGCTGCAAGGAGCCTGCTGGGTTGGGATGCCTACTTCAGGAGTGGTTTTCCACCTTGATGGAGCTTTCTTTGGCAGTAGGAGAGAGCAGAAGAGAAAACTTCCACACAGTGCACCTTGGAATTTAAACATTGGCCACAAGGAGGAAGAAATGTCCCTCAAAGTATATTGCTGCGGTGCCAGAGGTCACGCTCTGATTAGACCGTCGCTTTGTGTTTCAAGGAACAGCTGGTGAGGGCTGACGAGACATCAGTGAAAGCAAGGCATTAAAGCAAGGTGGTGAACTGAGATGGGTGTCTGCAGACTTCAAGGAAATAGGTCAGACTGTGGCACATGATAGGAAAGCCTGCAGAGGGGAAGACAGAGGGTACTGGTAGAAATGGTAGGCCCAACAGCCCTGAAATTTCTGTCCTCTTGGCTAGAGCTTATGAGGAAATGTATTTTATTCATTGTGATGAGGCCTCATCGATGCCTTGCAACCCTGTGCAAGCACCTTGGAGGTGTGACACCAGTGTTGTTCTCATGGCATCACACTGCCCACCACATCCCACAGACCCCGGGAAAAGCCTTGAGCCAGATGTGGGGGTGCAGGGTCTACTCTCACAGTTCTAGGGGTCAGGCATTTGCTCTTCTTCTTCACTAAAACAAACCAAAATTTTTCTCAGCAAAGTGCTTTGCCTGTCTGTAACCATGGCCTCCAATTATCTGCCCTAAGAAGTCCCTGGGGAGGCTTTGTTAGTAACAGCCCTCAGTGGGGCCCATTCATACTCCAAGTCACTTCAACTTTTCCTTCTGACTTTACTTTCTCTAGTAGTTGCATCATTCACCTCTCAGTACCTGAGCTTCATAGACTGAGCATCAAAATCCACCATGGAACTCATTAAAATGCAGAAACTCCTAACATCTCTTCCATAGTTGTCTTCAAGCCTTCACGCCGTGTGCAGCTAATTGCAGAGCTTGCAAGATGTAATTAAGGAAGAAGATTTCAAAGAGCAACCACTAAATAGATTTTCTTGTTTCAAAGGCTGAATTTTGCTGCATTTCAGTTTTGAACCTCATTCTCCTATTGCTATTGATCCAGAGTGATTTCTTTAGAGACCTTCATCGGGAGGAAGAGCAGAGTGTGCTGGTCTGACACCTCCACTGCCAGCAGTGGTCTTCGTCCCTGTAAGTGCAGCCCAGCCCAGCACATGAAACCCTTTCTAAGATAAGTCAGGGGTGTGTTCAGAAAATAATAAAATAAAATAAAATAAAATAAAATAAAATAAAATAAAATAAAATAAAATAAAATAAAATAAAATAAAATAAAATAAAATAATAAAATAAAATAAAATAAAATAAAATAAAATAAAATAAAATAAAATAAAATAAAATAAAATAAAATAAAATAAAATAAAATAAAAT